AAGGTTTTAGGCTTTAGCTTCTATGCAAGCACCATAAAAGCAACTTCCATTGTAAACTTGAAGTTCTAATCGTTATTTTTTTAGAAACAGCTTTCTTTAAGTTAGAAGTATTGAAAATAGACTGATAAGAACTTCCACATCATTATAATATAATATTATGTAATGGTTATATTCACTCTATGTAATAGAGCTTCCGTTGTGCTATTGACACAGATGGATTTAAAACATTGTCTCTCTTTTCCATGTCATTAAACATAGTATAAAGAGGTACCATCCTCGGTGACCTGCCTCATCTCATCATCGTTGCCATGTCCCCCAACCATAATTATATTTTTTGTCAACCTTCTCTCATCAATTTCTTTTGCTGCATCTCAACAATCGTACTGATCATCGTCTGCCACTTCTCCTCGTGATCCTTTGCGGCCAGCCACCCCACTAGAAAAAAGATTCCAGCAACTTTTCAGGTGAACGAGAAAATATTCCGGTGAGTTTTCTAGTGACCACCGGATCTGGAGCAACCCTCAAGTCCGGCGCATCCTCGATGGGGAGAAATTTGGCACTTGCACACTAGTGCCATCGGATAGCCTCATATGTTGACTGTCCTTGTCGTACTTCGTCCTAGATGCTCCTTGGTGCCAACAGTTCTTGAAATGCAGCCCGGCTCATCAGAATCTTGTCCTAGCTACAAAACTGGCCCCATCAAGCTTTCGTAGACTTGCTTTGATTGAGTCTTTTTATGTGGTTGAATTTCCAACTTCTGCCCTTCATGAACTTGGAGAAGTTTTACTTCTTGTCATGTATCATCACTTGAGAGGACATTTCTACAGCTGATTATTCCAACAAATTCTCTTCTTCCTTTGTTATTCAATATTTTTCAACCAACTCTTGAGGCTAATGGTCATTCCAGTCACCTTGCAGCATTTGTCATTTCTCCGACGTCTCTAGCATTCCTAGGTTGATTTTGCAACCATATATTTTGGAACCCAAATATATTATTTGGTTAATTTTTTATTTGTAAGCATTCATTAGTAACAAGCTTAGAGCTTTAATAAGCTTTAGCATAAGGGGAAGTGTTAGAAGTATTGAACATAGGTTGGATGCTAACATCATGGCTGTTTTAGGAAGGAATGAAAAAGGATATCCAACGATTTATTGTTGAATGTGATGTTCAATGCAATAAAGCCCAAACACTATCTTCGATACGGATGCTTAAGCCTTTACCAATTCCAACTCAAGTATGGGCAGATATCTCCACGGATTTTATGGAAGGGCTACCCAAATCCTATGGAAAAGACAGTATCTTGGTGATGGTCAATAGATTGACTAAATTTACTCACTTCCTACTCCTTAGACATCCTTTCACTGCCAAGGATGTTACAGACTAATTCATTAAAGAGATTGTGAGATTACAAGAATTACCCACTTCCATAGTTTCCAATCGGGATAAGATCTTCCTAGCCACTTCTAGACTGAGTTGTTTTGTAATGCACATACAAAATTGAAGTACAACTCACCTTATTATCTGCAATCGATGGTCAAACTGAATAATATTTTCTGTCCTTTTCTTACTTCCCATTCTTTTGACACCAGTACATTACATAGTTATCTTAATACTCACTTAAGATAGTTTGATCATTTGAAAGGAAGACAAAAATGAAGCATTAGTGAGAAAAGTGGACCAAATTTAAAGAGTAGAAGACCACCTAGCAAAAGATCAGGAATAATACAAATTTTGATTAGCTTTATAGAAATTTAAAGACCATGCTCTAAATGGTTTTATAGAAGTTTTGGATTTTATAGAGCCTGCCTACAGGATAGGCTTGATTGTTGTTGTTTCTCTTCCAAACAAAGCACATTTACATTTTCAGAGCCACTTCTTACAATGACAATAATAACAAAAAGACAAAGACTCCAAACAAAAATCAAGAACGGATAACTTGATGAAATACATATACTAAACATTTTAAACTACATGAAAAAAAGAGAGAATGTTTATCGCTTACCTGTTTTCGAAGGTCATCAATTTCTTTCTGGGCAATATCATAATCCCGTTCATTCCTTCTGAGGTCAGCCTGCACAAGATACACATAAGCAAATCCACATACAACCCAAAAAAAAAAGGTACATGAAACAGTATTTTAAGTTGTAAACCTTCAGTTCAAGGATGGTTTTCTCTAAGTTGGAATTTTCATTCAGGGAGTTTTGCAACTTTTGGTTCATTCAAGCTGTATGCGTCAGCCATCTTTTCATGCTCCACTGCAAGAACAGCAGTATAATTATTTTAGTAAAAAATCTATGGCATTGTTGATTAAGAATGTAACAATAACCCTGCTTGCAGAGCTTTTCCTCTATGTAACAATAACATTGGACACAAATGATTTTTGCTTGAATATTCATCATAACCGAATTATGAAAACTCCATACACAGCACCTTAAAAATTCCAAAGTGAATTATAGTCCTTGTATATTTTACCCAAGGTGCAGCGCAAATAAAATCATTAGATAACAAGACTACCCCCATCAACCAAGCCCAATAATAGCAACCACCCACTATTGGTCCACTCACATTACATATATAATTAAAATAAAATGCAATAAAATCAAGATGCGGATCTACATTTTCTTTTTTCTAGTGGAATTAAATGCAGAACAATAAGGACAACAATGTTGGAACAGTATTTAATGATATTTTGCTCTCTACGTTTACAGCTTATTTAGCCATTCAATCCAATAAAACAATATACCTCTTTCATCTATTATGGCTTCTGCTTTCTCCTCTAACTCGTACAGAACCTGAAAAAGTTAATAGAAGATTGCATCATTTTTAACATAATATATATAAACTATATGGTACCACCAGAACACAGTCGTAGTCGTACTAAATCGATTCATCTCCAAATCCAGCAGAAAGGAAACAGTGTAAATTACAACCCAAATGCAAGTGAACCAAAAAAGGTTTAGCCAATCAAATTATACTCTTAGAAAACAATATATATCACAGGAATTCTTTAAACCAATTTTAGCCACCAAAAAAACAAAAACAAAGAGTTAACCCAATTTTTGGTCCTTCAAAAATACAACTGTCATTAGTTCGGTCCTCCGTTGATAAATACGTCATGGGACTTTAGGGCTTGTTTGGTGGAAATGATAGGATAAGGTTAGGATAAGATATAGAGCTGGCAAGCCTATATCATGTCCTGTGTTTGATGAGCACCTGATTAGCAATCTGATAAAATTATATAGAAGGAGAAAGGAGAAAGAAAAAATAAAATATAATGCAATAAATACAAATATATTGGGTAGCGTGGGGATATATTGGGTAGCATGGAGATATATTGAGTATTCAATATTAGTATCCTATCCTGTTGAATCCTAACCCAACTCCATGAAAATTAAAGGTGAAAGGAAATACATTCTTTTGAAATTTGTTACATACATATAATTAATTATTCAAATAATTACAGCCACCCATTCCATGAAAATGCTTCTTATTTGTAATAAATAACTTAAAGCATTGCAGTCAACTTCCCCATTAACAAATTAAGTACCGGACATACATGAATATAAATTTAAGAAATCTGTTGTCATATTACCCTCCCCTTGAGGTTATGTATAAAAGGATGCACCAGGTCAACCATACCTGTTGCAAAATTATCTCTGACTCCTTCCTGCCCAATTGTTCATGTCTCAATGCATCAATAGCCTCTTGGTATTTCGCATACATTTTGTCCAACTTCAAAAGATAGAGGTATACAGAAATAAGATTTATTTATGTAAATCAAATGGAAAAATAGTGCCAGTATTAAAAGTAAAACTTTAATAACTCACACTCCAACCATCTTGCAGGAGTGAAGCAGCTAATGCTGTTCCAGAAACACCAACATGAATTTTCGGGACTAGCATGCTATTTTCGTCAAACATGCTATCAGCATCAATTGATGTCAGCCACCTGTCAAAAGGAAAAACAATGGCCTGCATGTTATATCTTGAACATGGGTGCGTGTGTGTGCGTGCGTGCAATCTCACCTTGTAATTCCGGTTTTGTCACCTTGTAATTCTTCTTGACTCGTACCACCCAAGTCTTGCGGATCTTTGGTTTCCTCGTCTTTCCCAAGAGCAATCTCACCTTCCTCATTTTAACCTTCATTGACTGCCTCATTTTGGCCTTGTGGCAACTCACCACCGTCAAATGATTCTTCGGTGATTGGATGACTGCCAGTAAATTCCGGAGTTGTAACAGGCTGTTCTTCAGCACTATCTTCTGGGGACTCTGATCCTTTTGATTTCTTCAATACAGGTACCACTACATCAGAGCCCTTTTCACCAGGTGTGACAGATTCAGAAGTGGAGGTAGGAGCAATGCGTTTTGGAGACAATGGTTGAGATGATAGAGCATAATTGCTTGGAGTTTCTGTGTCACTCGAAGGTCCAGCATCAGACATTTCTATGTCACCTTGAGGCTCGTCGAGTTTTACTAGATGAGGCCTGACCAATTTCCTACCTGTTTTTCGTGTTTCAACGGCAGCTTTGGGCAATGAAGTCATCGACATTGGATCCAGAAAGAAGTTGAGCCACATTCGTTTCCTAAGAAAATTTAAAAAAAATAAGCAAAACGGGCTCAGAACATAATCATAAAAAATGATCCCTGCAAGCTAAAGCATCCCTATCCACTCAACATTAATTAGGTTGCGCAATAAATCACTTTTTAAATTATTACCTCAGGAAGATTGCCAACAACAATCTTAAGCTTTTCAACTTCATCGGATAACCTCTTCTGAGCCTCCTTGCGCCTCTCAAGTTGATTAATAAACTTTGTTTTCTCCTGAAATTAAGTAAATCAATTATAGGGAGTGAATGTATATATATATATATATATATATATATATGTTATAGGGAGTGCATGTTATATCTTGAACATGGGTGCGTGCGTGCGTGCGCGTGTGCGTGTGTGGTAACATATACATTAATAATACCGTATATGTGAATATCATATATAATATATTCAATAGGATTTGTATTTGTACTAGTTCTTTATATTTATTTATATGTTATGTCATTAATATTTATCATTAAAAAAATAAATCACCACCATAAATTTTATATGGTAAATTTTACATAATAAATTTTGTATTAGAAAAGTTTGTATAAAATGAAGTAATTCGAAGGAGCAAAAAGGTTATGAAAGCCATACGGTTCAGAAGCGAAACTGCTGAGTGAAAGATTGCTCAGCTCATTCCTCTTCTTCCTTGTCTCAATTTCAGCTTCACACTTCTCAAGCTTTCTTTCAAATCAGCAGCCTCCTAAAAGCATCCAAATAGATATAAAGCATGATTACTTGCACATTTGAGTACATAACATATTTTGAGTACATAACATATTTTGATTACTTGCACATTTGAGTACATAACATATTTTGGGTAGATATCTACCCACCAATAAAATGGGAGCAAGAGCAACCCAATGTCATCCAAATATTCACCATCTTTAAGCATGACCAATAATAACCTAAAACATTTTCCATCTTATAGACCCATACAGTCTGATTTTTAAAGTAGCAAATTTGAAGTTCCAAAATATCAACTAATTTCACATAAGGAAAGAAAGTAATTAAGCACTGAACATTAACAAAATAACACGTGACTGACAAAGAATAAAATACCTTTTCAACCTGTTTTCTAACAGATAATTCCTTCTCAAGTTTCTCTTTATAATCATCTTCGACTTGCTTTAGTCCTGACTGTTTAAAACACAAGTAACATTAAAAAAACAAAAATCCAAGTGCTCTAATTTCTAATTTGACAAATTTCAAAAATTAGAAAAAAGCATAATAACAAACAAACTTCACCTCCATTGCTTTTAACACACCCTCTAGGTCTGCTGCTTTTCTTGACCATTCATCAGAACTCTCTTTATAGAGCTCATTAAGTTTGTTAACCTAAAAATAGGACATATTCAAAATTAAAATACATAATAAAATACACAACAAATAAAGCTAAAAGAGATCCATAAAGTCAAACTCAAACAATACACTAGTATAGTGAATAGGAATTTGAGAAAGCTTGAGCTGGATTTTGAGAATGCTTAAATTTGGTTGAGTTGGATTCAAATACACTCACAGTGGAAAGTTCAACAGATAATCGCTCTTCATTGGCTGCAGCAGAATCTTTAGCTGAAATTAATTCCTAAAAACATAAAAAAACATCAATCAAGCAGGGTTAGCGATAAAAGGAAACCATGCATCATATTTCAAGATGATGAATAGAACATTTTGCTTTTTGTCCTTCATTTTTAGCTTTGTATTCTGAAGATTAGTTTGAAAAGTTACTTCTTTTGAAAACTTTTTATTATTCGAAAATTAAATTTTAATAAATAGGTGGGATAATATTTTACATTCAAAATTCCTTAATGGCAAACAACTATATTAATGTCCCACTAATTTTTCAATTAGAAATCTTAATTTTAAACTTGAAGTGGGTGAGAATATATTTAAAATTCAAAATTTATTTGTGGCAGATATCTATATTAATGACCAACTTTTTAACATGTGATGTGGTGCATATTTTCCTTTGGTAATCACCTTCTTTTTAAGATATTTCTTTTTGTTTTGGTCAGTTTCTCTTCGTTGACTTCTTAAGCTATGGACTCCAAATATGATTTCATAAAGGATCTTAATCCTACCAAGAAGGACTGAAGGATTAAAGTTAAGGTGGTAAAGAGTTGGAAGGTTCCTAATTTTTAGTGTAAAGATTTTGATGATAATGTGGATATGGTTCTGTTAGATGAACATGTAATAGTTTTTGATTTGTTTTTAGCAACTCTCTTGTTGCTTGATTTGGTTTTGATTGATATACTAATGTAAGTATTTTGTAGGGAGAAAGATGTGTGCTACTTTCAAGGGTTTTTTGCATGTCCGCAAAAATGGTTGTGTTATAGCTTGACAATCCTAGGTATTTATGTTATGTCTGTGGAATATTTATTGTTTATTTGTTAAATTTTGTTTTGTTATTAAAATAGTGCATGCAACTTCTACGAAAATAGGGGTCACAAGCTTGAGTGCACTTTGTGGGAGTAGTGTGTGGATGAAGTGCAAACGTTTCTGGCAAATAATCAGTCTTATCAGAACATCATAATAGTCCAGCTTGCGAGGATCAAGGGTTTAATTTTTTTTAATATTTGTTAATTATTTTTAACTCTGTTATACTCTAATTGTCTCTCTGTATCTCCCACTTTTACGTGTTCTTAATTGTATAGGGAAAATCAGAATAACAAATACAAAATATATGACAAGGATTATCTTGGATTCAAATGTACCAAAGGTTGTAGACTTCAAAAAAAAGGTGTCGAGCGAGATCAAAATCGAACTTGATATTTTGTTGTTTAATATTACTTCTATTCAAGATTTTCTCTCTCTCAATTTTCTTATATATCCCACACTATAATCCCCACTTCTAAGAATGAGACAACCTTATTTTAATTAAATTGACTTCTCGGTTGAAAAGAACATCTTTTTTTGTTATTTTATTCTCTATCAATTCTTCAATTATTCCCTATCAATGTCTATTGGGCTTAATTTTAAGAAAACATAAATAATTTAGATTGTTAAAAAAAGTCACAAATATTTGCAACAAATAATTACTTATTACTATTAATAACTCAACTAAAATGAATTACCATTCAGTGACCAATAATCATCCAACTTCTGCATCATAAAAGAATATTTGTCATTAAGTATTTTACAGACTATTACTTGGAGAATGTGCGCAGCATTCTATGCATGTTTCTCACTACTTTTAGTATGGAAAATTGTTAAGCCTATTAATAACATTTATTATTATGTCTATTGGGTGGAAAAATATTTTATATTTAAAATTTAAACTTTTTAAATTTGAATTTTGAACTTTGATAGGTGGAAAAAGAGTTCAACATTTAATGTTTCTCACTACTTTCTGCATGGAAAATTGTTAAGCATATTAATAATGGGGTTTGCGGTAGTCATGTTACAGGAATCTCATTTTTATTCCTGCAGACACATACATATTTTTTTATTAAGTTGTTTTTTTTTTTTTAAATTTTTTTATATCGGTGGGCCCCACAAATAGGGGTGTTAACGAGCCGAGCCGAGCTTTGATCTTAACGGGCCAAGCCTGTATTTAAACGTGTCCGACTGGCCTTAGTCTGTTACCTGTTACGAATATAATATTGGCCTGTGGCCTGATTTATTTACAAAAAATAAAAGTCTGTGTGAAGCCTGTCTTAGCCTGTTAGCATGTTAAAGAATAAAAATAAGAGATCAGAATTCCACAAAAAACCAATTTCCAAATAGAAACTTTAGCTTCCAATTTGCAGCAATAATTTACAAAGTCTACAATAAATAAATAAAAATTAAAGTGAGAGAAGGTAGATAACAAGTTATATTATCTTAGCCCATTATAAAAAAAGTGCCAACAAAAATAAAAATAAAATAAAAAATAAATTGACACAAACGAGTAGTGCACAGTGGAACAAATGAGTTTTTGTGGGTTTGTTTGTGTGAAGGAGGATGAAAGATAATATAGAACAGCACTAGTAATTCCATAAATATACATAAATTCAATATATATCCAAATAGCATAATATAGAACAAAATCATTCAAAAAGTCTGTTAAACCAATAAAATGGGGTGAAATAAATTGATTAGAGAGAGTTATTACAAGTAGTATAAAAAATATAAATAAATATTTATATAGTAGGCTAGTCTGAGAGGCTCTAAGGCCGAGTTTCTGAATTAGAGCCTGAGGCGTTTTTATTAAACGAGCTTTTATACAAGTCCAAGCCTGGTTCCAACACGAGCTTTTATTAAACGAGCTCAGGCCTTTACGAGCCGAGCCAAAGGCCCCTGGCTCGTTTACCACCCCTACCCACAAATATTGTGTCAGTGACATGATGCAACATTTATCCTGTGACATTATGCTTCTATTACCATTAATAATAGTTATCATTATGTCTATTGGGCTTAAATATTATACCTATTAGGATTAATTATAAAACTGAAAAAAAGATATATATAATAAATTTAATTATAATAAAAAATTATTAATTAAACGAAAAAATATTTAAAATCATAAAAATATATGTATAGTTGATAAAAAAATAATTTAAATTTGAAATTTAATTGAAAAGAAATAAGAAGTGACATATTTATACTTTAAAATAAATTAAAAACTTAACTTAAAAAAATAATACAAAAAGATAAAAAGAAAATTCGTACAAGTATTTTTAAGAAAATATTTAATATAAATGTTTTAAATATTTATGTAAAACCAATTCAAAAAACATATATAAAAATTATAAATTAAAAGAGAAAAAAACTTATTTTTTAAAAATATGTATAATTAATACGAAAGAATTTAAATTATAAATTATAAATTTAAATAAAAAATTAAAAATAACATCCATCATTCTGTAAAAAATAAATTATAAAAATTTGATCACTATAGAAATGTAAATTTTAATTTAATATATAAGAAAGAAATTAAACTTTCATTCTCTTGATGTAAGAGTGTAATTAACATAATTTCCTATATCGTGAATGAATAACTAGAAAATTGTTTCCCTCTACTTTCTATATGAATGTGCATGTTTCTCACTAAGAGTGTAAGAATGTGCATAAACTTCTATGCATGTTTCCCACTACTTTATGCATATAAAATTGTTAAGCCTATTAATGACATTTATTATTATGTCTATTGAAATGGAAAATATTTAATATTTAAAATTTAAACTATTTCAATTTGAATTTTGAACTTGATAGGTGGAAACAGATTCAGCATTTAATATTACCCACTACTTTTTTTTTTTTTTTAATAACAATATTACCCACTACTTTCTGCATGGGAAATTGTTAAGCATATTAATAATAATTATTTTACCTATTAGGATTAATTATAAAACTGGAAAAAAGATATATATAATAAATTTAATTTTAATAAAAAATTATTAATTAAATGAAAAAAATATTTAAAATTATAAAAATAAATGTATAGTTGATAAAAAAAATTTAATTTGAAATTTAATTGAAAAAAATAAGAAGTGACATATTTATACTTTAAAGTAAAATAAATTAAAAACATAACTTCAAAATAATAATACAAAAATATAAAATAATAATCGTACAAGTATTTTTAAGAAAATATTTAATATAGACGTTTTAAATATATATGTAAAAAAAATTAAATATATATATATGTACATATATATATATATATATATATATATTAAATTATAAGAGAAAAAAATATTTTTTTAAAAAAATATGTTTAATTAATACAAAAGAATTTAAATTTTACAATTTAAATTTAAATAAAAAAATTTAAAATGACAACTATCATTCTATAAAAAAAAAAATTATAAAAATTTAATCACTGTAAAAATGTAAATTTTAATTTAATATGTAAAAAGTAATTAAACTTTCATTCTTTAGATGTAAAAGTATAATTAAAACAATTTTCTATATCATAAAAAAAATTGTTAAAAAAATCTTTTAAATGAAATTAATTTAAAAATCACGTACTCAAGTAGATTTAAGGTTATATTTTTTTTGTATTTTTAAAGTAATTTGTGACATCTATTAAGAAAAATAAAACTTTTTTCTTTGTATAAAATGGGGGCAGCAATTCAGAATTTTTTTTGAAATCTTTAATTACTTCAATAACATGAAACTTTAATTCATATTAATATCCTGACCAAAATTTACCATTTCTCTTTTCTAACATTGATTCATGATCTTTTGCTTGTCAATCTTTGAAACGAGGACACCTTAAGTAATTTTATTTCTCAATAAAATTGGTTGAATTATAAATTAGCAGGGTTTTGTCATGTAAAAAAAAATAAAATTAGATATTTTTTCAGTAGTTACTGTCTTTGTTTTGAACAATTATACATCCAACTCATTAAATTTTATAGATACTTAATAATATGAAAAAGAAATTGCGAAGTGCCAACAGCAGGAAAGTCAGTGATTGTGATTTTTTTGGAACAAATAATCTCATAAAAATTTATATAAAATTTTATCTAAAAAATAATGTAAGAACTTATAAAGAGAAAAGAGTATTAAAATAGTTTATTCTTTTTACTAATTTTTTATTAAAAAAGCATATATTAAGACAATATGCATATCAATATTCTATTGGTTCTTAATATAGAGTGTCTGTGTGATTAAAGAATAATATAGTGTGATGTAGTGTTACAATCTATTGGGTGAAAAATATTTAATATTTCAAATTCAAACTTTTTAAAT